CAAATTTTCTGTCGATACTGGGATTTGAACTCTGGACCTGCCACTTGGGGGTTGACAACCTGACCACTTCACTAGGTCACCACACCCCATATAATCCATCTTTATTAGATATTTAAAATAATAAATAGCATCACCAAAACAAATAATAAAATCTTTGATTCGATTGTATTGACTAATATGAGCATAATAATCATCAATTAACTTAATAATTATGTTTGTAATAATAAGGCCTAAAAAATATTATATGATGTTTCTCAACTGTTTATAAAGAAGCAGAAACATATAATGCATATGTTCTTTAAACTCAGTCATGTTATAAGTGTTCTGTATTAAATTATTGCAAAGATTTAGAATTGGATTATTTGCTTTTTCATTTTGTAAATTGAAATAGTACAAAATATTACAAATTTTTAATATTTTGAAGAGAGCTTTTAATTCGATTTATATTAAACATTATTTGTTTAAAATTACAAATTTGGTTAACAATCAATACAATTTGCTAATCTTACAAGTTTAGTTAGATTTAACTTAAATTTTGTGATTTTATTTAATTTTGTTAATACTTTATTGTTTAAATATACAATTTTGATCATGTTTCAAAAATTATAATTACATAGAACAAAAACAATCATGATCATAACTGCAGACAATCATGACTATGATCATAATTGCATACAATCATGATCATAATTATAATTGCAGACAATCACAATCATGATCATAATTGCAAACAATTACAACCATGATCATAATTGCAGACAATTGTAATTGCAGACAATCATCATACAAATAAGCTATAAATATCAAAAATATAAAAATTGCTGTAATATTGTTCAAAAAATAAAAATAAAAAAAAATAAGTAAAAAAAAAACCCTTCAAAAAAATAACAAAATGCAACATAAATTCAAATTTTTTAAAAACCAAAAAAGTTACTCAAAATACACATATAAGAGTTATCAAGTTAGCTTTTAAAACACTTGCTAGTCTTAAACAACCTAGTATACAAACAGCTACATTAAGTTTTAGTGTTGCAGAAGCAACTTTAAGACATGCAATGCAAAAAGATTGTTTATCTAACTGCTCTGGTTCTACAACAGTTTTGAGTAGCTATAAAGAAGAACAATTAGTAAGCTATTACAAAAATATGCAAAGCTTAGAATTCAGTATTACAAGATTAGGAATAAACATCTGTATGATGAGTATCATAAAGAGTGATAATCATAAACATTCTTTTAAAGACAATGGTTCTAACAAGATCTAGTGAGCACATTTTATAAAAGATCATCCTGATCTATTTTTTCAAATTCTTCAAGTCTTGTTAGAGGCATATGCTCAAAAAGCAAATCTAATTATTATTAAAGATCATTTTGATAAATTATATAAAACAATCCAAAATAATTCACTTACTTCAGACAGTATTTAGAACATGGATGAAATCAACTTCATTATAACTTCTAAGGTTTAAAAAGTTCTTGCAAAAAAAGATGTCCATCAAGTTTATAAGATTACACATGATAACTCTCATAATTATATTTCAATTGTGCCAACAATTTCAGCTATTAGAAATTATATCTCTCCATTAATTATATACAAGAGTGTTTATGCAATTTCTGGTTTGTTAAATGACACTCTATTTGGTACAGTTATAGGCTTTACCGATTCAAGATATATGCATAAAAAACTCTTCCAAATGTATATTAAACATTTCATAAGTTCTATTCCTTCTTGTTGTTATGTTTTTTAATGCTTAATGATCACAACAGTTATATAAATTATATAAGTATTAATTTTATTATGAAAATAGAATTTTACTATACATATTACCATCCTATACAACACATATTCTTTAACCATCAAAACTTCTTTTCATTATACTTAAAACTGAATATAGTAAAAATTATGATCAACTTCATTATGTAACTGGCAAATTGATAATTAAGTACATATTTGCTAAAATACTTAGTTTCATATTTAACAAAACTTATATTCTTACAATAATAACTAATGTTTTTAGAACTACAAACATTTGACCTTTTAATCCTAATATTATTAACCCTTATCATCTCAATCCCTCTTTAACTACTAAACAAATTGATATCTTACTTTCATCCTTTTAACAAAATAATAATTCTTCTACATCATCTTTTTCTATATAATCTTTTTTCACATTATCTTTTTTTATACCATCTTTATCTACACCATCTTTTTCTACACTATCTTCTTTTATATCATCTTTTTCTACACCATCTTCTTCAAACTACTTTATACACACTAGAGTAACTGAAGAGAATGAATTATTAGAATCAGAAATTCATGTTTTAAGAAGAGAAAACATACTACTTAAAGAAGAACTTGAGACATTTAAAAATCCTGATACCTGTCTATTAAAACTAATCCTTAAGTATCCTACTTCTCAAGTTTCAACACAGATTAAGAAGAAAAAATCCAATCAACCAAAAAAATAAAAAACTTTGCCATTTGCCCAACTTCTAACTAATAAAGATTCTCTAAATACTTTAAAAGAAGCAGATGAGTTAGCAAAGAGTAAAGCAGAAAATACAAAAAAAAGAAAAGAGGAAGCAGCCCAGAAATGAGCTGATCGGGAAGCTGAAAAAAAAGAAAAAAAGACAAAAGTGAGCAAAAAAAAGAACGGTTATGTAAAAAAAGAAAAGACGATTATGCGTAGTTATCGTTATGCTGTGCTATACTTATCTATATAAATTTCCATGTATATCCTGTAATACTATATCGACATTAATTCGACATATCCGATGTGCGCCATAATACCCCCCAAAATGTTAAAACCATAGCATTTTTTGAGTAGAGTTTGAAAGGTCATATTTCTAATTTTTTATTAAAAAAACATCGATTCTTTTTTTTATTGGTAGATAGTTAATTCGATGAATAATTTATTTCAATAAATTTCAAGAATAAAATATATTTTTTCTGGAAATTTTTATATAAGCAACTCTTAAGTGCGTCATAATACCCCACTTCACCTTATATATTAGACTTTTATTATGCTATCTACGATCATGCAACGCAATCACGTTATCCCGGCGCTACGAATTACCGGAGTACTATCGAACGTGTCGAACACAGTGTATTACATATTGACAAAGCAAAGAAAATAATAATGAAGGTTTATACAAAGGAAAATTTTTAGCAAAATTTTCGCAATAGATAGCGTATAGTAGCCTCCGAAAGTTTGTAACGTTTTTTAAATCCAGATTAGCGAAATTGAACATTTAGATAAATTAGGCCGTTCCAATTTGATTCTTTGTTTAACATGAATCCCCTCTATTTTTAAAAAAATTTGCATAAAAAACAACACCTTATTAACCAATCAGATTGCAGTACTGGAAGTTTTTTATTTTATTTTTTGCAGCCAATAGAATTACTGTATTTTTAGTGTTGTTTAATGTCACCCCCTTCTCTTAACAAGATTTCTTTTTATGATAAACACAGAATCAATTTGGAATGGCCTTAGTAAGAAAAAAAAGGGGTTTATTTTCACAATACAATGTGTTAAATTTTATGTTTTCTGTGTAATAGTACCAGATTTTTAGAGGTTACATATTCAACCGTTTTGACCCAGTTGAAACGTTTTGACACGGGTGACCCGATTCTAAACTCTATTGGTAATCTGATCCGCTCTCACTGCCCAAAACTTCCTCAGGCTCAGACAATTCAGTACCATCGTCTGAACCAAAAACCTCTTTATAATCATCATCACCTGCCTTTTCTGACACCGATGTTATAGAATCTGTTCCAAAAATTTCTCGGGATAATTTGGAGGTGGATGAAGCTTGACTAATGTTTGAAACAGATCTACTCATTGGTTCGCTTACTTTTTCCTGCGAACTAACAATAACCTCATCTCCATCTATTCTAAAATCAGTCGAAATTCCATTTGAAAGTGAACTAAGATCATCGGATGTTTGTTGAGAATAATCATTCGTTGAGATTCTTGCCACTTTGCTTGCAAGACTAGATTGAGTTGATCGAGTTGATTGATGTCCTAAAGAGTCTTGAGAGTCGGCATCATCATCATAATCGATATATTTTCGCTTTGCACTTTCACGAGCAGCTCTCGCTCGCGTCATATGTGGTCCTGTAGAATAATTATAATCTTCGTCATATCTACTTTTAGTAGATGAAAAAGATAATGTAGATGATGATTTTTTGTCAGGTTCAAGACCCATCGCCCTCCTTGTACCACTGCGAGTACGACTAGCAATAACTTCGGAATTCGCGTGTAATAAAGCAACCCTTTGTGCCAATTTTTCTTGACGTAATTTTCGAGCTTCCCGTCTCTCCTTTGCCTAATAGTAAATTATATTAATGATCTAAAATTTAAATGTAATTATCTCAAAAGATAATGATCACCTCAATAGATTGTTTAATAGCAGGTATGAGTTCTTTCATCACTTTGTTGTAAAAAGCTTTATCTTTACCACCGGAAGCCTTCAACTCTTTAGGGTCATTAATATAATTTTCAAGATCTTCTAAGGTTGTTGATATAACCTCCCACATGTACCTTTTAGATTTACTGCCTTTATGAGGAATTATGGTCTCTCGATAAACTCTTGCACCATCTAATTATAGTTAAAACAATTATAAATACAAATCCTCACCAAGCATTTCAATATATTATCCACTCACTCCAAACCTACATCCAAAATAGTAAAATTTGCGTCCTTTTCGATCTTCACCATAGGGTTCTACCACCAAAGAATTTCCCTCATTTCGCTTTGATGATCTGTATTCCTGTTCAATTAACTTGCGTACTTCTTTACCTTCCTGTAACTGCCATGTTACAAGATTGTTCAAAATCAAGACCTGTAAAAATATAATATTAATTCGATATTTAATTTAAAAATAATAACAGAATCATAAATTATATCAATTAACCTTATCTCGAATATCAAGTTCATTATAATTTTTAACTCTGCGAAGTGGATTGTAATCTCGATAAAATTGATAACTTTTTTTAAGTTTTTGATCGATGGTTTCAGATAATAACTTTCTCCATGATTGTCGTCTAGTTTAATCGGAGAATTGATCACAAGAAAAATCAGATCAATAATATAATCATTAATAATTAATCGGATTAACAATTCACTCACGAGACTGGCTTTGTTCTATTTAAACAATTTGTCAGAAAGATACAATGCACTTGGTCGATCAAATCACTATCAGCTTCAGTAGCGAGTGCACCTTCTAATTCCTGTATGCATTTCGTGACATAATTATGCTTCATTAATATTTTGATCCGAAAAAACTAATATTATTAATGATTATACATGATCTTTAAATAATAATCACTTCTGGCCAAAACTCAAAACCTTTAAAAAGAGGCTTGAATTTTTCACAAAAGGCAATTATAAATCCCATCTCCGGCATCGAGCGAGCGATATTTTCACTTTCAGTGTTTGGTTGAATTTCCATCGACATTTTATTATTATTTGTGTAATGTTTCGAATTTAACCGTTAATTGTTGTTTACAATGATAAAATCTATGATCCAAACCTGAAGAAATCCAAAATTAGCGGCATCAGTATTGAGTTTCTTGTCAGAAAGAAAAAAATAAAAAAGGAATAAAACCAAGTTTTACACATCACAATTTGTATGAGTGTACTTCAGGCTCGCAAAGTATTTTCTTAGAGGTAAAACTTACATGGAATATCTATGAAACGTTAAAGCGGATCGCGTACAAAATTCTCTCAATATTTATTATTTTGGGCGAGAAGAAACAAAAAGCAGTAAATAATTGTTTATGAAAAGCTAATCAACACAGAAAAAAAATTTCAGTTTAAAATTATGATGATCAGATCAACTTGGCTATTTATAAAATATCAGAAGTTGTACGACACAAGAATGGAAATATGTCATACTTGTGTAATACTGGTTGCAACAATTTCTTTGTCTGTCAGATGCAAAGGGGTAATAGCTATTATTTCAGTTCAAGGGAACAATTATAGTTTTGAAAAAACGTGCTATTTTATTTATTTTATTGTATATCTGAAGTTCTCCATTGATTCTTTTATACTAGAAAATGGCAAAGTAATCCCTTTTTGTTTTAAATTTTATTTTAAAAGTTTGCTTTATTTATTTAGTATATAATTGAAAATATTTTAAACTATTCTATTTCAAAATAATATTGCGAATTAGTTATTAAATATCTCAACTAAGAAATGTTGAATTAGATTTACAATATAAAAATTTATTAGTATTTAGAAGAGTATTATATAAAAATTAAAAATTAAGTATCTTAAATCAAAATAATACACAATATAGCGATAAACAAAATCTCAGAACTAATATATATACTGTATAGCCAATCAGAATAAACCTTATATAGTTTTAGTATATATCAATGTTCACGTGATAAAAATCAGGCTTTGTAATCACGAGTTATTAAAAAATTGACCGATAATTTGGCTTACCATAATAAAATTTTTAATTTTTACTTCTAATGAATTAAAAGGTCTTGAAATTCTTATAATATTAAATTTATTAATTTGCGAATCATTATAACTTTATACATAATACTACTGGTCAGTTTTTTTTTTTTTGATATTAAGGTGACTTCTTAGGAGTCTTGGCACTTTATTAGATTAGACTTACGGGGGACAACTGGTGCCCCATGCTGGGATTTTTTGTTACATTGACGAGGGTACATATAGCCATACGTACAATTTTAGTCATTGCCTGTTTAAGGGTTCGCTTAAAGTTCTGCATGTGCCCATGCCAGGCACATTAGGCATCATGCCGGGTACTAATACCTATGGCATGTTCGTGCCATAGGCACAAAGTACCAGTCTAAAAAAAAAGGGTCAAAAGCATTTTAGTGCTATGCCTAAAAAAATTTTCAGCGTTTGTATAATAGTGCCTGGCACTTTAGACACTTTAGGTCTGGTTACGTGTTTAGTACTTTTAAGTTAAAAATGAAATCAAATACAAAGTTTTTTATGAGTACAAAAATTCTAAACAGTTTTAAGTCAAACAAAAAAAAATGCTTGTGTTCATGCTTATGTTTGTATTTAAAAATTTTTTATTAAAAAAAATTCTTTCTTATATATCATCAAAACAAATAAAAATAAGAAAAATACTTAATAGATAGAGTTATAACTATAAAGATTAGATCAATTTAATTCTTTGTTTAACATAACCCATCTTTTCTTATTTTTTAAAATTTATATAAACTCAATACACATTAATAGTAACTAATAATATTTGTCTACCTTTAATTTTTTAAATTTTATATAATTAACATATGTAAAATCAATTAATAAAATTGTAGTATTACTATTTTTATATTTTTTTCAATATTTTACTTCTTTTTTTACAATTATTTTATGTTATATTAAACAAAGAATTAACAAAAATTAGTATATATATTATGTATATTACATAAAATAGAAGAACTAAATAAATAGATAATAATATAACTAAAATAAAAAATAAAAAAATAAAAACAATACTAATAAGAAAAACCTTTCTAAACTACTAAAAATTTTTTATACATAATTTATAAAAAATCTTTTAATAAATACAATTATATACAACATACTACAATTAAAAAAGTTAATATAAAAGTTTTAACAATTAAATTTTTTATTACTAATAACAAATACAGGTATACAATTACTATTATTTCTTTTAAATTTTTTTTTTTTTTTTTTTTAACCTTAAGCAGTTACGCTAGTACTTTATTAAGATTCTTGAAACTATTTACAATTATAATTACATAGAATTTCCCAATACTTAAGCCTAGCATCACTCGGCCACCCTATTGGTACCTAATATTATTTCTTTTTTAAAAAAGTAATAATGGAGTGTAACAACATAATAAAATGAAAAGGTTGTCAATTTCCAAGTAGCAGATCTAGAGTTCAAATCCTACAAATACAAATTTTGGAAATAATATCTATGTTATAGTAACTAATTTTGTTTATTAGTTAAATTGGCATATTTGTAACCTTTAGTTATACTATTTTGAATGAAAGCTCAAGACATCTATGTAAAATATAACATTATACATATATAAAGAAATATTAATAATTAGTGTTGTATAAGATTTTAGTACAAAATTATGATAAGACCACCAAGTGCAAAAAGCAAAAAAACTAAAAAGTTAGAAGTCTACTTAAAAATTTCAAATAAGAAAATAGCACAAACTTACATAATACTATTAGATTAATAAAAACTTATAAAACATCTTTAATAAAAATAGATAGATAAACTGGATAACAAAATATATAGAGAAGTATATGATAAACCAAGTTACTAAAATTATCAGATAAAAAAGATACTAAGATATACTATATTGGATTATTTGAATTAAAAGTTTAGAAAATTTTATCAGTTTTAAGTTATAGTTAATAAGAAATAATAAAAAAAATATTAAAAAAATATGTATTGGAATTTGAATAAATCTTATAAAAGTATAACAGTTTAATAATTAGTTCTAATTACAAGTGCTAGTTTAAACCAAAATAATATCAGATTAGTTGTAAATAGAGATATACAAATATATATTTTTTTACTTTGCATTGTATAATATAATATAATATAGCATATAACATTATGCAATTATGTATTTTGATAAAAAATTTCAATTTTTTCTATTAGTTCTAATTTGTATATATAAACATTATTATTAATTAAATAAAATATATTAATACTTGTTTAATAAGTTTTACTTTTTTTTTTTTTTTTATTATTAAGATGATCTCTTTGCTCTTTTAACTTTTATTAATCACTTATCAGTATTGTGGTTCAATGAACTACTACAAGAGAGCATACAATTGGCTACACATGTAACTTTTTATATTACCTATTTAAGGAGTCTGTTTGAAGGTTTCTTACCAATTGCTATATCTAATACTCCTGCTTGGGTGTTCTACTTTAAATCCTCTGAACCTGTAACCTGTATTAATTTACTGAGTCATATCCAGATGCCTAGATCATCATCTCAACCTTAGAACTAATTTATCATTAAGATAAATTTTCTAAAGCCTTTTGTATCTATTTTTACAGCTAATCTAAATATTACTATGACAGAACCAACTCTTGCAGTCAGGACTAACTATTAAACTACTATGCTTTTGTAAAGTTCACTTAGATCCTAGCATTTATTTTATAGCATCATCTCAGTATTTTAGTATACTCTTGTCTTTTTTCCTGCCTTTTTACCAAACTTTTAATCCAAATAGCCTATATAGGACTATGACCAGTTTATTGGTATATTAGGTCAGTCTAATATTCTTTTCCTCTAGTTTGATTCAGCAGCCTGATTAGTGGTATCTTCAAGACTTCTAACTTGGAGATTCTTGCTTGTTTGGTTACTATGATTGGATACTAGACCTTAGTATCTATTTTGCTAGACTAACTTTTATAGTAGGGCCATTAAAGATCTAGCTATCTTTCTACTCGGGTCTTCTCAAATAAACTTCTTGTTATTTAATTTTAACAGATTTATACAACCACAAGGACTTATCTAATATTTGCATCACCTGATTTGTTAGTTTGCATTTCTTTATGTAACTCCAACATTGCACAGATGCCCTATGACCTGCCAGTCATGCTAGTACAACTGCCATTACAGGTATCCTAACTCAATCATTAGTAACAGTTGTTATAATACAAATATTATATAGGTAATTATTCAAATTTTCATCATTGATAGGATTTGAACACCCAACCTACCACTTGGAAGGTTGACAACCTGACCATTTTACTAGGTCACCATATCCATTTTAATAAGTTTTACAATTTGTATAAATAATAAAAAGATCTTATATTTAATTATAAAGTTCTATTACTATAGTTAGTAATAAATTTACTAAATTATAATATTATAATATTAGAAAATATAATGATTTAATAAAGTGATCAGATTATTAACCATTAAGTAGCAGGTTTAGAGTTTAAATTTTAAAAACAATAAATTTTGAAAAATATATTTATATTATAGTAATTGTCTCTGTTGATTGATTAGATTAGTGTATCTATAATCTTTAGTTGTATTATCTTAAATAAGCACAGGTCAAATAAATAAATAAAGGGCGAATAATAGGTAAATAACAAAAAAAAATCTGCCATTATTCTACTCTATATTTGCCAAATAATAGCAGCATAACAGCAGTATAATAGCAGAATAACAGTAAAATAACAGGAGGTTTGTCAATATAAGTAACATAATAGTAACATAGTAGCAAAATAATAGAACAGTTCTATTATTTTACTTTTAGTTACAAAGACTAAAAGTAAAATAATAGAACAGTTCTATTATTTTGCTATTATGTTACTATTATGTTACTGATATTAACAAACCTTCTATTATTTTATTGTTATTCTGCTATTATACTGCTGTTATGCTGCCATTATTTGGCGAATATAGAGTAGAATAATAGCAGACTTTTTTTCTGTTATTTACCTATTATTTACCT